CCGGTGTCGAATGTGCATGGCCACTTCAGGTCTGGACACAATCGGGATCACCAGGGCCTGATGCAAGTCAAAAGCTGTGCAAACACGTTTGTTAATGTGGGTACGCAATGTCGTCATGTTGGAAAATTGGGTCATGCAATGACGACAGACACTAGTGCCATCGAATGAGTCGCGCAGGGGATTATATACATCTTCTGGCAAACATGGGATGTGGTGCATTTGACGCATGTGCCGCTTCAGTATCCCGGCCTGGTTAAACTGTCGATGGCATTCCGGGCACTCAAGAGAGGGATCCTGAGCATGAGGTTGGGAGGAATCACTCGGCGTGTCTAAGTGGCACGTGGGATAATCTGGGGTCAATGCAATCACATCGGGAGGTTGGTCATCCATGGCAGATTCGACTGCTTGCTGAATCTTGTGCAGCAACGACTGGCGCAGTCGAAGGTTGTGGCTCTGGAGAATCGCCCAGGGAGGAGGTTGATTCAGTCGACAAAACATGTCCTGTGTGGATTCATGTGTTAAGTGAACAGGGGCCCTAATCATGCGTCGATAGTGCACATTGATGATGCTAACTATCTTACGAAAGCCTTTCTGTGTGATGCCCATTTCATGAATACCATACATGAGCGTTGGCACTATGCATTGATGGTACAATCGAAACCTGATGTCTTGCGGAACACATTGGGCTGTGAGCCACTTCCTCAGGGTCGAAAAACACATGTGAGCGGCCTGTGCACGTCGTGCTACTGTGTCCATTTCCCATGCCCTATATCCTATAATCACACCAAGGTACGCCGTTTTCGAAACCATGGGCAGTCGGATCGAGGAGTCAGGCATGGTCAGAAAAGGACCAGCTTTGGTGCGGACAACCCACCGTTTGGTGAATCGGTGTGCCCCTTTGCCAACGGCCCGAAACAAGACAACACTCTTGTCAAGGTTGATGGAGAAGCCATACATGCGAAAGACTCGAAGAATGTGGTCCAGGTCTGACAGGGCAGTGAGGCCATCGGCCAGCTGACTAGTGCGCCATCGCAAGTGCACGTCGTCCGCATAAATTATGACATGTTCATGAATCCACTGGTACGAGTATCGAGCCGCCAGATCGGTGAGCACCAAATGCATACAAAGTGTCCAAAGGATCGGACCATCTTTTGATCCCTGACGAATCCCTCGAGTGGCCAAAATCTCACCCACTAACTTTTTATGTGGTATATAGTATTTGTGGGGGGACAACAGTGTATGAATCATGGTCTGGAGATCCGTGGGCAGTTGCAAGCCTAGAATGGCAAGGCTCACCGTGTTGCGGCTGACCGAATCAAAGGCTTTATTCATGTCTAACGAAACCTGCAGGCCGCCAAACATGCCATCCCTTGAATTATCCTGGCTGTACAGGTGACAGTCGTCGCGAACCTGTCTGCAATGATGCGACACTCGAAGCAGACAATCAGCAGTACTCCTATTGGGGAGATAAGCATACAAAGGAAAGCAACGAAGTTTGTCGATGGTGTATTGCGACAGTTGAGTGGTGACAAAACTCGAAGCAACTTTACAGACAGAGTGTTGAAGGCATATCGGCCGAAGTGCTTGCGGTTTCGTGCTGGGCTTTCCCGGTTTGGGAATGAGATGCAGCCATCCAGCCGTCCATTCATCAGGAGCTTGTGGGGGGGAAGCGCTCCACCAGTGAGCCAAGGCGCGATATGTCGAACCAGCAAGTTCAGTGGCTAAAATTTTCCAAACAATGGCTGGGAGACATGGTGGAGCCACGGCTTTGGTGGCAGGCAGGCGCTGTAAGGCTGCATGCACGGTGCTCTCATCGAATGGCAAGACCTGAAGCGCAGGCAGGGCCGTTGGTTGAAAGTCTGGATCATGAAATTGAGTCCCAAAGTATTGAACCAGTTCACTAAGCTCTTGTGGGGGGCTCAATGGTTGTCCATGACCATCAAACATGTGAATGCGCTGGTACCGTTGCTTGGGACAGAGCGTGCGGATTCGGCGAAAGAAGTCGAATGACTGGTGCTTCATGGCCAAGTCAACACCTTCCCGGAGGAAGTTTTCGAGTTTGGTCCGTTTATTGATCCGGCTATACTTTCTGATTTGTTTATGCAAAGCACGATAGCGAATTAATTTGCACCAACCCTGAAACACGGACTTGAGACAACAATTCGGCAAGGCCAGGACAGCCTTCCGTGCTAGCCACATCTGGGCACTGAGTGATCGAAAGACAGGATCCACCTGGGTCTGTCGTTTGACTGACGGGAAACATTGCTTACACAATTATACAAGACTTCGTTCCAATGCCAGATTACTATCGATCGGTGATGACTGAATTGTGGTGGTAGCAATGGCCTGTCGTGCCTGAGTCAGGAAGGTGTCCCATTGCGGAGTTTGCTGAGTCCAGGCCTGTCGAAGGCGGAACCGGTTGATGCCTTCATGGTGTTTGGGATTGGGAGTTGGGTACCATTTGGACAAATGGAAGCTCAATGGATAGTGGCGTGGGCCTTGATTGCCAAACAAAAAGTCGAAGTCAGGGTGATGCTTCGGTTGCATTCGGCTCCAGGAAATCTGGTCCTTGCGCATCAACACGAAATCGATTCGAGTATTATGATTACCATGCACGAACGTGGGATGGAATAGAATACCCTAGTGTGAATAGCTGCCATGCGGTTATCCTGAACTAGTGCGCGAAATTGGTCCCGATCAATTTGAGCAGCTTTGGCATACTTGGGATCCTTGGTGAAGATATGCTGACCATCAAAATCAAGTGGTGTGTTATAGTCACCGCCTAATACCAGAAGATTCCGTGTTGGGATATGATTGATGCAATTACGAAGGCAATCCCAAACTCTTTGGCGTTTGTTCAACAATTGCGAAACGTTCCCGCCTGAGTTCCATGCATGTTGATAGATGGCATATATGTCGTGAGGGCGGTACAAGTGCAATCTCACCTGCATGATCCTGCCGGGGATGTGGTGTGCAACCGAGATGGCTTCTCGTGAGATCAGGGCTGCACGAACCATCACGAGAACTGAAGCATACCGAGCAGCCCCATGTAACACATGCCATTAAGGAGTACTCCATTCACTTGTCATTCCCCATCCCGTTTCCTGGGCGATAATGATGTCATATGGTGATCGATTACACCAGGCAAGCCAGCTTGGATAGTGCAGCGATCTTGAAGCATTCCATTGTAGCACTTGAAGATGGCCTAATGCGGGAGGGGTCGGATTAGATACCCGAGGGCAGGGGATCTGTCGACGATGCTGTATCCATAGCTAGCGTATTCGAAAGAGCACCTGTGCTGGATATAAGGCTTTATTGCGATACATGGCTAGTCCATAATCCAAGGATCGAAAACATGCTCGAGTATACGATCGTTTTAATCGGTTGCATCGATTCCGAGACTGGACGAGGCCTAAGCCAGCTGTTACCCATGCCTCGTGATGTTTCGCCCGAAGTGGTGGAGTATCATAGACATAAATCGGACTCACGCGCTCTCCTAAGGCGGGAAAGACAACCCTCACGCCCGGGATGGTAGGTGCAAGCACAAAAGGCTCATCTCGGTCCATCCCGCCTGGACTTGGGACCAGGCTTTGCAAATCTATAAAGTTCAAAAGGATAAGGAGCGAAAAAGTGGGGCTAAGCATACTGCGGACATTCAAAAGCAACGCATGGCACGAAAGTAGAAAAAAAAAGAAATCCACGTCCGACGCTCCCTTTCTTAATCTACAAATAACGCTTAAAATTATAATTACGCTTACGAATAAAACCCCCAATTCATATTTCCAATAATTCGTCAATAATATTCTTAATACCGACCTCCCCAAACGACACTACACGCCGCCACCGCAAAGCTCGCCGCCACCGCAAAGCTCGCCCACCAACGCGAATCAATAATACGACCAATTAATCATAGAATTGATTCTTCATAATATCTAAGTTATAACCTTCAACAACGAAACTAAATTCCCGACCTCATATAAATAGAAATTATAGTTATTTAAGTTAAATTATTATTAATATTATATTGATAAATATTAGCAATATCAATAATAATCCAATACTATATTATATTATATTCAATCGAATTATATATATATATATATATATTGAGATTTTAGATGTTGTGGCCACATAGACTTGCGTCATAACCCAGCAACAAACAGAGACTGCCCCGGCGAGTGAGGTATGCTGAGGTCAGCAATCTGCGCGTACATCCACAACATAAAGGGTATTTTCAAGCAAGGTTCAGCCAATTCTGAAATAGCAACGTTTCTGAGCAACTCTATCAGAACACTTGATTGATTCTTGATGAATGGATAAAATGAAAGCACTTCAAGTACGCACACACCTTGGCCACGTCATTTCTGTTGTCTAGCATCTTTGCAGAAGCTGTCAAATACTACAGTATGCAAAAGGATGTGGCTTTGAGCGCACTTCTCTCGGCTCTGCAAACCTCTTGAGTCGCCTATTTTAGGCCCACTGGCAGGGCAACTTCCAGCGAGTTGGCTGTGGCTGTGAAGAAAACCAAGAAACATGCTGCCCAGGATTGCGAAGAAAGCCTTGAAAGCTTAGTGGTGGTCGAGTGATCGCCCACATGTGATAGGTTTGATCTGTCTGAGCACGGCTCAACATCCCTCAACCCTGTGTCACCTTGCTCTGGGCTCCTGTCATCGCCTGTGTCTTGACTGACAAATTTAGAATGATCGATCAAGCCCTCTCGCTTGAGCGCGATAAAATTAAGAACATATTCTTTTGACACATTCAGTAAGAACAGGCAAATCCGTGATGCACACATTACCCGGCAAGAATGAAACTCGGTCGCTTCTTAAGTTTGCAGCTGCTTCTCCCTATAGGATTTATCAAAGATCGCTGCTTCTTCTTCTCTGAAACGCTCTGCTTCTGTCCAAGGATAACAAACCCATACATGTCCCTAGCCTTCACTCTTCACAGCATAGCCTTCGTCGCAGACTACTCGGTGGCTGCTCAAGGCTCGTAAACTCTCACCTGGCGGCAGTGGCAACCAGCACAAGAAATCGCTAGCCCCCCAGCCTCTTCAGGAGCAGCCGAACGTAATGTTTCATGGCAAAGCCGGCAAAGCTCAGTGCAGGCTTTTTCTGCACATCGCTACAAGTCAATTGTCGCATTACTGACAAGTTCGTTGTATTCGCAAGTTCCGCAACGTCCTGTCTGATTGGAATCTCTGTTCCAAAGACACTGAAGCTCCACCATGTTATGGTGTTCTATCTCATTGGCATCTGAAATGGTGGCATGTCCGAATCAGCCATCATCGTGTCACGGATCTTGCCATTCCAAGCCAGCTTCCTCGTAACAAGGCTTGCAAGTTTCATGTGAAATGTCATATTTTTGCAGGTCGGCTTCAAACATTTGTTTTGCCTTGGCATAAACTGCGCGATCCGGCTCATCCGTCCAGCCATTGAGAATCGAGGTGTCATAGGTGTGAGAGGATGCTCCCTTGGAGGGTCGTGTGTCGTCAAAGTCCACTGCCAAGCATTTGCCTCCAAACTTAGCATGGAACAGGCAGATTGACAACTCCCACTCCTCTTGAAGGCCTACAAAAGCAAAGCCTTCCTCCAGTCGCTGAACGGCCTTTGAAACGTCCGCTTGAGTCAAATTGTGGACTCCTGGATATATACCACAAATTTGTCCTGCTTGCCAGCTGGCCCATCTCTTGATAAACTCATCCATGGACACTTCTGCTGTCATTGTTTCATTGCAACATCTACAGATTGGGTACGGAGACGCCCTGAAAAGATCTTCATCATCATTGTATGCAGAGAGCAGCCGCTGTTCCGGTTGACGGAACAACCCCACAAAGCGACCTTTGTTTTGCTCGTACTTCTGATCGGTCAGCCACTGGTGGGTCGCATTGGGCGGCCAATCGCAATGCAACAAGCTCATGTCACACTTGGTGGGGCAGTAGGACCGAAAGCCCGACTCGAAGCAACTTCCAAACAGCTCCTCATTGCCCAAATTCAAGGTCTCATCAAGTCCCGGGCACATGCCTGGGAGGTGATAGACCGCGTTGGCGAAGCTCGTTCCACATTTCGGGAAGTGAAGCCTCGGGTGTGCTTGGATCAGAAAGGACGCAAGTTCACCCTGCCCTTATTTTTGAGATGTGTAAGCCGCTTGGACCAAAGGACCAATTCACCAAAGCGTGAGTCATGCTCCGGGTATGTACGCCGGATTGATTGCCAGATTTGCTTTCAAGCTGGGTGGCCTATGTCTTTCCGATTCATTCAAACCGGGGGGCTCTGCACATCCATGTATTGTTCGGTTCACATGTCTTCTAGACTGTCAGAAAGTGGATCTCAGCCAGGAAACCAAAACATTGGTGAGGCTTGCAGGCGTCGGATTCGCTGTGGTGTGTCCACTTCCAAGCTTCGCTGCAGGAGATCGACTGTGAGGTCTACTTCGTCTCGAAAGCTCAGGCCGCCTTGCCAAAGGAAAGAAACCTCGGTGAGAATAGAAAGCCTCCGATGTCATGAGAAAACTTGATCAAGGTTCTATGTGCCTTGGAATAGCTTCAATACTCAAGCCTCGTAAAATTGCCTAACAACTCCGAAAACCGATTAGTAAACCAATCATGAAGCGAACTAAATATGTTAAAAGACAAAATTTAAGCTTTGCTGGTCTTTACATGTCTTTGCAGTGTGCCTCCGGACTCCTCTTGTTTCCCCTATTTTTGCATTGGCTTCTCACTGGGTGTACAGGGTGTTTCGGTTGGTGCTTGATTCTTGATTGGTTTCTCATTGATTTCAGTCTCCAATGGAAATTGCTTGCCCTTTATTCTGTTTCTGTGCTAAATACTTGATTCAACCGCCACACACTGTTGCTTAGACTCTAAGGGGTACCCTACATGAAGGCCTCAATCAGTACAAAAGAGTATTCCGCTCACAAATGAAGGAATTGTTGTCTCCTTGAAGGTTTTGTGTGTTCTTTCCTATCTCAAGCCAATACTGGTTCCAGGAATCCTGCATACGTTTGAACAACAATCACGGGTGTTTTTGGGAGGGACCCCTGCGAAAACCGAAAATCTCACCTGACCTCCTTCGTTGTCCCAGTCACGGTAACGACCAAGAAGGCAGCGGTGAATTGCGCCATCCCATGCGGTTTTGGGCTGCTCAGCGCAGTATGGTCGAGCCAAAACTGCCTACGGAGATCCCAAGACATAACGACCAGCGGGGATCTCGACGTGTAATCTGGTTCTGAGGAAACGATCAGAAAACGAAGGTGAAGAAAGGAAACAATGCAACAAAATATTGAGCAACTGTTCCAAATGCGCAGGCTGTCCACGGAGGCAGGCTGGGGGATATGATATGATTAAGCCGTGCTTCCTTGAGCTGCTGCCCCACGATCGACGAAATTATCAATCACAACAGAATCCAGTAAAGTAAAGGTCTGATGGTCATGAAGTTCAAAACGATGTCCAAAGCTCTAACACTCTGAGCTTCATGGCTCCAAAACATCTCCAAGTGCAGAGAGGAGATTCCGCAAGTGGCGCCGCTTCTCCTGGAGAGCTGCCCAAGATCTAGGCACTCCAAGTTCTTTCTGCTAACAATCAAAGACGGACTGTTTCCTACATGAGCGTGGAAGCTCCAAGGCCAGCTGCCTTCCATCCATTCAGTTTTCAAGGTCATGCTGAGTCATGCTTGTCATCTCAAGTTTTAGAATGACCTTCAACGGAATCTAAAATGGATGAGCTCCAACCTTTGGATGGAATCCCTTGTCATCTGGATGAGCTTTGTGCGGAATTCCTTGCTCTCATCCATTTCTCGCCACTCGCTTTCACGGACAGTGACCTTAGGGCCGAGATCCGGTTGAGTGCAAGCCTTGCCAAATGCGTTGCCTTTGGAAGAATCTAGTTGAAGTGTCAAAATATGAAAAAAGAGGTGACAAAAGGAAGGTAAGGCAAGGTACCTTCCTTTTGTCATCTCCTTTTTCTTCGTTTGGGTCCTCGGGTTCATTAGTCCCACACTGAAGTTTGGTGACTATGCTGACGGGTCATTCGTGTGCTGGGCATCCAACGAGTCTCAAGCCCATCTTTTGCAGGATGCGCCGCCTTTCACGGGCGCGACAGTGCACCCTCAACATGAATCCGTACGCCGTCTACTCTGATGTGGGCAAAAATTGGGCAAACACATATTCTGGCCCTGCAACTTACATTAACTTGCAGAATCTTGCAGACTGGAAGAAAGTGGAAGGGCCGTGGCAAAGAAGGATTTGGGCTGTAGATGCAAAACACTGCAAACAAGCAAGAAAGCACTGAAAACATCTGAAAACAAGGAAAGATAAAAACACCAAAGAAATAGAATGAACAGAAGGAAATAAAATCATGTCGAAATCAATTGCTTCCCCCTGAGTGGTTTTTGGATACCTCTCTTGCCCAACCTCAAGGCAACAGCACCCTCGATGACCACTCCGGCAGTCGCTGGATCATCCTTGGAGGGCATACACTCTCTGTTCTTCACTTCATACAGAAGTCCTAGTAGCGTCCGATCGCTCCTAGTAGCGATGCCAGGAGCCCCTAGTAGCGTCCTTGCTCCTAGTAGTAAGGCCAGGAGCCCCTAGTAGCTCCTTGGACTTCTTGGATGTTTCTTCTGAAACTCGTGCATATGAAACGTTGTCAGCATCAAAAAACCATTGACATTGAGCCCTCCTGGCACAGCTTTGCTAGGGCGCCCGGCGTGATCCAAGGACCGCACTGAGGTCACGTTGGAGTCGAGATCCACGTGCACGAAGCCATCTGTGGAACTTCGCCTCAAAGCAACTGAAGGGGGAAACTGTGGAAAGCGCAAGCTTCGCAAGCTTGACAGGGCATGACAGGGCCCCTCAGAATTGCACCTAATAGCGATATAATATATACAGTAGCGATGGCCTCCAACCTAGAAGCGATGGCCTCCAACCTAATACCAGGCAAAACAAACATCTGCATGGCTCCATGACTCCGTCTACCCTCGAATCACCGTCGGAATCCCTTCGTGCTACCGAGGGGCTTCCTCAAGGCAGCCACATCCACCAGCAAGCCACAGCTGGTTCGGTGGTTCACATGCACGGAGCCATCCACCTCGTCAAATCGAAGGAATCCACTCCACAGATTCAAAGACCCTGTAAACCAACGATACAACGTGTTATCAGCCAGAAGTAGAGTTCAATGGTCCATGCATCATGAGAGTGTGGCGAAACATGATCTTTACATATCTTCTTGTCATCCAAGCAGGCACCGGAAGCAAATGTGTGAATAGATCGTTGGCAGGTATCCATTTTTGGTTTTGTGATACTTCCTGACCGAAAATGGAGAAGGTGTATCTTAAACTTGTCCACGCGTCACATGCTCCGTCCACATAAATAGACGCACGCACACATGATGGGGGCAAACTGATGGGCCTACAAATAATCTCTGTCCCATGACTGTTGAGAAAGGTTTCGGTGAACAGCACACATTGGTCCTCGCATTGGTCCTCCAAACAGGTCCTGAAGATTTGAAATGCCCGACTCCATGAACAGCCCAAATCCTCAGAATGGATTTGTTGAGAATTAGGTGCCTTTTTGAGCCTGTAACTTCTTTGGATACGACAAAGGTCCTTTGCACAAAGTCGGACGAAGTCGCCAACGACGCTTGGGGCCCCTGGGGGACCAGGCTAAAGACTTTAGCACAGAGGCGACATCACTACGGTGCTTGTCAGAGCAACGCCTGCCGTGGGCTGTTGACTTTATGCAAAGGTGCACGAAGACGATCTTTTTCCAGCCTACCTACGCATCATACCTGTTCAGTAGCCTGAGATGAGACTTTTACCCACTAGCCCAGGCAGTGAAGTGCTCAAGAGAATGATTCGATCTGACAATCCTCCGCGGTCCATCCAAGCAAGGTCTTTAGCCACGGATCTCTGATCGCATTGATGTGCACACGCGAAAGAGATCCACTCAGCCTCTCATCCTTTCGGCTATCTCTGTAGTGCTCCTGGAGCAAAGTCCGCGATGCATATGACATACATTAACTGGAAAGCACTTGACTGGGTGAAAAGCAGCATTGCAAAAAGGCTGTGCTTCGACTGAACCATGCAATCCTGCAGAGCTTCCAAAGTTTCTGCGTCCATCTTATCTCTAAACCTGCAGAACGCAAGGCGCATTCAAGGCGCACAATGCGCAAAGTTCATGGCGTGCTACATTGTTACACTAGGCTGGCACCAAAGGACCAAACTTTTGTCTAGGAACTATTCAAAACCACACGTATGCAAAATGTGCGCAACCCACTTGCCAAATGCGTCCATGGCATTTATGCAGCTTGTCCTCCCAAAGGCACAAGTACACGCTTTCAGGATGAAAGCCTGCTAGGAAAACAACGTATAATATAAATGTATAATATATTGGTTTATATATTGTTTTTAACACAAAATTTACAAACACACATTCCATGTGCAGCTTGTGCCATTCCCAACTCGCCCCACTGCCCAATCCCTGGCCTCCGATACTCGCTCTTGTGTTCGCTCTCCAAGGCCAAGTGGCACTCAAAGAGCTGGCAGGGGGCAAAGCAGAGGACCCGGGCAAAGTAAAAAGGACTTTAAGGAACCTAATAGCAATGGCCTCCAACCTGAGAGCGATGGCCTCCACCCTAGTAGCGATGGCCTCCAACCTAGTAGCGATGGCCTCTAAGCGGGCAAAGTAAAAAGGTTGAATTTGATAGTTCGGGTATGTTTTTATAGTGCAGAGAATCCAAGGAAAATGAGAAGTTGTCCTTTCCCTTTCACGAACGCATAGTCTGCATACATAGTTTTGTCTGACTTTGGTGCATTGCTGGGTACGGCACAGAGCTGCTGCATTGTTGCCAAGCATCAAAAACACTGTGCCACAGGCACCAATCTCTAAAATAAACCCTAGGAACCCACACTTTGACACTTTGTATGACGGTCGTACATCTCGTATATCATGTCTCTTGATTGTGAAGATCTCCCAAAAGCTCGACATCACCGAAACGGAACGTTCAACAACCAAAACCACGCAAGCATACAGTGGCAGAGCCTGTGTGAGCGCATCGGAAGCGATGACCGGAACCTTCCTGAGCACCTGTGAACGGAAGATGCGAGTACCCCTCAAAGAAGCTGCGGAAAGCATGAAAGTAAACACCTGGCAGCAGTCATATATATATCCATTGACTGGCTGGGGGGACTTGCGGCTCAAATCTTGGCCAGCTTAGCTGCTAGCCCTTCATGTACCTACATAACATACATAACTTCAAGAAACATGTGCCAAAGAAACTAAAGCCACCGTGGGAAGGTCGATCAAACTTTGGGGTAGCAAACTTCAATGGAAGCTTCCAAGGTCCTTTTGATTCAATAATCTGAAAATCTGCGAGTCTGCTCATTTCAGCCCCCTAGTGGCATTCAGCTTTGACACAAACACTCCGATGGCCGTCGTCTCACCCAACACACCGTCGAGGTTGAGATCGCCTTCAGCAAAATGGAGAAGATTTCCTCAGCACAAATCAGTGCAACCAACGAAGCGCTGGGGCAACAGCAGCAAAAGAAATCCTGCACCGCCGTTGGAACCCGGTTATATTTGGTTTTGCTCGCGGGATTTCTTCGTTTAACAGGGGTACCAAGGGGAAAGTTACAACTGTCATCAGGATCTGGATCTGAAGGACGATCCAAATTCAGACAAATCAATATTCACCTTCAAAACGTACGGCATTGGAACACTTCAAAGGCGAGTTAGTGAAAGCCCACTGTTTTTTAGCATTCCACGCCAAGTGTCTGGGTTGAAGTGCTCCAGCACACACAAGGCCCAAATGATCTCGCAAAGGTCCTGCATTGTGGATCGCCACTACTAGTCCATTTGATTCCATTTGTGCAAATGCCCACGGATTTAAGCTGGCCTTGCACGTCTGACAAGGATGTGGCCCCTCTAATAGTATCTATCGGTCTGGCAACTATGGAAGATGGTTCACCGGACAGTTTTCTAGCTGACCAAAAAATGATCGCCCCCTTGATACCTTGCTATCCCTTTCTACCCTGACCGTTTCAAGAGTCCTCAGGTCTGAAGTTCACGCCACCTTTGATGCGTGCCACCACCTGTCAGTCCAAAAGAATATCATCACTCATGGTGCTAATGATTCCCAGGCCTAGAAAAGCGGAGGGCCTAGGATCTTTAGAAAGCATGCTTGTAGGTAGAGACGTGTGACCTGGCAAATGTGTTATTGTAGGCAAGCATGCTCTATGTGCCATCTTGTCTTAGTTGGAGAGTAGCGAGCCTGGACATGACTTGTCTTGACAACTCATATTGATCAAATGCTGATGTGGACTGGTGTGGAAAGACTTATAACTCATAAGTATAAGTAATATTAAGTAATAATGTCGCTTTGCATCTTCAGATCGCTGTTTGCAGCGATGCTTTATCGACCTGGCCATCCAGCTGAACTGACCTACATGACTCATGACCCAAAAGGCTCTGGGCGAAGCTGAGAACAATAAAGCTCCAACCTCCTCACCAACGGCCCGACAAAGCCCCTGATGCTGCACCTGGGTCACAAAGGCTCACAGCAAGGACAGGCGTCCCAATGTCTTCTCTGTCCTAGTCGTGCCATGCCGCACCATGCAACCTTAGAAGCCTGAATACATTTTAGGGCCAGATTCAAGCGGGATGCTCGATGTCGGGAAGTTCATGAGTTTGGTCGACTTGGCTTCTGTAGTTTCTAATTATGCAAGTCGCTGCCCAATGCTGTCACCATGAGACGCTGTCTGCCAGACTCACCTCATCCTCAACCAAACGAAACCCACACCAAGACCCCAAGCGTTGCATTTCGCGAAGGATCGCAGCACCCGAATGATGTCCACCGGCCGCAACTCCTGCAAGTGGAGGTCACATGCGGGTTATGGTTGTTAATGTTTGTTAGGGTATGTTACTCAATATGCAAGGGCTGACACCGACATTGACTCTAAATGGGACTGTCCTTAGGAGTCCGCCAATGAAATCAATGATCTCAAAGAAGGGAGGAAACAGGTTCCTCTGATTGATCCACTGCTACTTGCGTCTGTGTGTCTGTTTTTGCGGACTCCCTCGCTCCAGCCTTCGTCCTAGAGGACAGGAACGTGGCTGCGGCGTTGAAGAGGTCGGTATGCACCTGGTGAAGCTTTCGAACTTTCGAATCGGTCTGAGTCTTTCCGCAACGCTCTTGTCAAGTAGAAGCGATGGCCTCCAACCTAATGGCTTTCAACCTAGTAGCGATGGCCTCCAATCTTGTCAAGTAAACTTACATGTATTTACCCTGTCACACACCATCACGATCGTAGAAAGACTATGAAAGACTGCATGAAACTGCTTTTCGCCTCCCTAAGTAACTATATACCTCCGCCATGTCTATTTTCGTTGAGGGAGTGGAGCTGTCACCGTGAGCGACGGCGTCTCCAAACAGACCGGTCCATTACCTGCCTTCCCAGACAGTGGTTGTGCCTTTTGACTATTTTTGATTTAGCGAGGGGTCGTGTCAAACAGCATCCGATCCGTTGAGAGTCTTATCAATTGGATATTCTTGTTACCCTAGTAAGGCACTTGTTACTAGTAGCGATGCACCTGTTCCTAGTAGCTTCTTGTTACTACTATTGATATTCTGTTCCATGAACGGATTTGAACCATTTTGAGACCCTTACCATTGTTTAGAGCTGGGGCCGCTGCCAAGCGCATCTCCGATAAGATTGCCAAAAGAGCAGTAAGTTGCACCTCGGAAGTGAACTGCAACTTGGCCAGTGAACGTAGAGCAATGCAAAGTGAGTCTTCAACTTGCCAACATGACTGTTAAAGGTTGGGATGCCTTGTGTCTAGCTTTGCCACCAGTAGACTAGCAGTCACTAGCAACGCGACAATGACGTCATACTCTGACAAAGGCTCTGTGCAACAAAATGTCAGCAATGCAGCACCTCGCCGAACCTTGCTAGGAGCCATGCTGGAGCAAAGCTACTGTGCCTTGCCAGCGCAGCTCGCCCTGCAATCGTGGCCGGCCAAATCGCAGACGGACAATTGTAGCAGTAGCAAATTGAACTCAAGCTGAAAAGGGTAAAGTCAGCACTTCACAAAAGTTCAAGGCGGAACTTCAGCCTTGAAAAGGCGCAATAATTTTTCCCCAGTTTGCCAACTCTGGTCAACTCTGTATTAAAGCCCACTGGTTCAGGGACGGCTTCTGGCCGGAACAATGTTGACTCGATCAGTCTTCTAGAGTTGCGGAACGCTGGCAGCATTAACAAGTAACTACTAGAAGCAAAAGGCATCGTACTAGGAGCAAGGGCGCTAGGGGTTCCTGGCCTTACTATTAAGAGCAAGAAGCTACTAGTAACAAAGGGCATCGCTACTAGTGTCATTTCAGGACATGTCCAAGTCCTCACGGAGAACTTCCACCCGAGCAATGCTGTCAAGCAAAATTGAACTAGTTCTCTCACAGGGGAGCCCATTTGTATACACCTCAATTTCACCTCAATCTCTGGAGCAATCCCCTCAATGTCATAGTCACCAAAGGCTGTGTTCTTTAAACGTTGCAACAGCTGGATCTCGAAGCGCACGCAAAATGACTGGATCCCGACGTCCCTGCTCTGGCTCTCTTCGCTTGCTTTCCATCCATGTGGAAGTCGTTGGGTGCGGCTCGTCGCTCACAGGCAAAGAAAGCGACCCTCTCAACTGAAACATCAGCCTGTATGAGGGCTGAGGGCTTCCAGAAAATTGGCCCGTTTGAACAACGCTGGCAGGGTCGAGCCTCCAAAACCAGCATACTTGAACGACCTTTTGCTTTGCTTTGTGAAGCCAAGGTCTCTGCAAGTGTGCATGAATTTGGGACTCTGAGTCACCAAAACGGGTGACAGGCCACCTGCCTGCCGCCAAAGGCTGATCACAATCTTCATCGGCTCTTGCACCCGGAGGTGTTCCACATCAATCCTTTCACCAGACAGCCTCGAATAAGTCAAAAGTGCTTCTTGAAGAGACTGCATCTGCATCGCAGCATGGCTTGTTGAGGCTCGGCGTAGGTGTCATCACTCTCCGCGAATCTCGGTAGCAAGCCGTGGACAAAAGACTCTAAGGGCCTCTAAGACCTGATGCGCAAGTTTCTCGTAAAATGTCAGTCAGTGCTCTTTCATCCAACTCAGCCTTCAAGCATTCCTGGTAGCAAGTGGCTATTTTTAAGAGCTGGCTAAAGTCCTCTGGGACACGTTGCATATCTCCTCCATGCTTCCAGGCAAAGCTTATAAAATCTGCAGCATCTGCAACAGACGAAGAATCTAGCACTGAATCAAGGGCTGCAGTAGTTGCATATGTCGAACTATAAACCGACATGCCCTTGCTCACAAGTTTCGGCAAGCTGATGTGGAGCCAATGGGAACTTGAGCCGGAGGAATGGTTGATAATGCTTGACTTGACCTATCGGTCTGAGTGTGAGAGGTCCATGCAAATCACTAAGTAACAAGTGCATCGCTACTAGGAGCAAGTGCCTTACTAGTAGTAACAAGAAGCTACTAGTAACAAGTGCATCGCTAGTAGTAACTAGTCCTTTTGTTCAGAATTTGTTTTGGCCCCCTGGGCCCCGAACCGACGGAGGCAAAGAATTTGTGCTCCGAGAATCCAACAGACCTGGAGATCGTGGAGTCTGAAGTGTGAGAACAACGATAGACCGACCCTAAACCCTACATTTCCAGGCCGCTCTCCAACCTAGAAGCGATGGCCTCCAACCTAATGCCAGTGGTCTTTTCCAAGCTTTCTAGTCTTCCCACAAAGCATCTCTGTGTAAGTTGCAGTAGAGAAAGATTTTGAGCACTCTGCTTGCACTTGGATCTGCTTGGTGGTTGGCACCACGAACGGGTCCTACTAGTAGCTTGGGCTAAATAATTGTTTCAGTGGCTTGAGTGCTAAGGTCCAAAAAATCCAGCGGGCACCGTCAATGGCTGGATTCTGGTCTTCCAAGGGCCATCCGTCTTCTGGTCTCCAAACGATAACAACACTGCTGTGAAGGACACGTGTCCAACCCGCTTTGCACGGGACCCCTTTCGGGTTGTCTGGGACCCTCACACAAAGGCAGCTAAACAGCTGTTAAGCTCATGCGGCCTGGAAGGGTGGCGGAATGAACATGTCAGGAGGGAACAATATACACGTTCACCAATTCTGTGAATTTGCCAGGTTTCGTGCACAGTTACTGTTGCCTTTGCCCAGTATTATGTTTCATCAAGGGACAATTCTCTTTTGTATGTAGAATCTTAATCCCCGTGTTTATATCACACTCTGTATAACATCAATGCAATACCTATGTGTGTGTGTGGATATCCGGGACCTGGCGTTTTCTAGAATCTAGAGGGATTCGCCAAGGGGATACATAAAGTGCATGTTTAGCGAGAACAAGGGAATATTTTCTCAGATTCTCAGCCAGTCATACTTGGGAATTCAACGGAGGTGCAAACTTGGGACCTGCCAGAAGTTGCTACAAGTGCGTTCAGGTGGTAAAGTAAGCTTGTCACACCACGAGCTACAGCTCCAACAAAACCCATGGGCAGATTATCATTGACTGTTGTGGGCTCAAAAACCTCGTAGTAAGTGTAAAACATTGGGGAGAAAATGCTGAATCCGCCGACCCCTGCTTAGCCCTTGCCTAAGCGGGGCGGCGCCAGGGACACCGGAGGGTGGAACGGGTGGCAGTGCAAACGAAGGCCCCAGCATGCCACGTTAAGCAGCCACCCCCGCCTTCAAAGCCCTACTGCGTCGGCATCACTCCTGCACTGGCCAAACAAAGGCCGCAGCTTGGCTCAGAAAGCTTTTTCTCTGGGCTTCCGAAGGCAACGTTAGACACCCACGGGCCCCGCCCGCAAACGTTCCTGCAGGCCGCAGCTTGGCCCAGAAAGCTTTTTCTATGGGCTTCCGAAGGCGACGTTAGACACCCCTCGGGCCCCGCCCTCAAACCCTCCTCGGCAGCCCACGGGCCCCGGCCGCAAACGTTCCTGCAGGCCGCAGCTTGGCCCAAAAAGCTTTTTCTATGGGCTTCCGAAGGCGACGTTAGACACCCACGGGCCCCGCCCTCAAACGCTCCTCGGCAGCCGGCAGGCCTGCCGCGGCCTCTCTGTGGCCTGTCCGAAGCCTGCCTCTTCTCTTCGCCCACTGCCTCTTCTCTTCACCCACGGGCCCCGGCCCGCAAACGTTCCTGCAGGCCGCAGCTTGGCCCAGAAAGCTTTTTTCTATGGGCTTCCGAAGGCGACGTTAGACACCCACGGGCCCCACCCTCAAACGCTCCTCGGCAGCCGGCAGGCCTGCCGCGGCCTCTCTGTGGCCTGTCCGAAGCCTGCCTCTTCTCTTCGTGAGGAAATAGCCGGCTTATGGTTATGGCAAATCTGGGGCGTCAATTTACCCCCCGCTTATCTATGCCTTCCGCCCCAACGAGGGGTAAGCATCACAAGGACTGTGCATACACTAGGGCATCCGTAGTGTAGGATAAGCACTGGTAAAAGGTGTCAAGAATAGAGTGTCTTGAGGAAATAGCCGGTGTATGGTTATAGCAGCCAGCAGCACCACGCAGCAGCAGCGCCGCGCTCCTCCCCCAAGAAAAGGGGTCGGCGGCACCAGGGCGGAGCCCTTACTATTGTTGCATGCACGCTGCAAACAGCAAATGGTGAATTTAGGGGCTTCTGCGAGATCGCTTAAGCGCCATCCGCAGTCCCTCGCTCCAATCAAACTAATCAAACCAGTTTGAGTGTCCGGGCGCAAAGGTCATGAGACGTGAGGACATCTCGTTGGCCGCGGCCGTGAAGAAAACCTCGCAAAGGCAAGCAACACCAGCAGCCGTGGGCAGTGACTCACCTGAAACTAAAATCATGGTATTTGAGAATATTGGATGATGTACACAACAAAGATCGCTTCCGGTGATGGCGTCTTTGCTTTCGTGCCCTTTTCTTCAGTTCGCTCTGCCATGCCCCCTTTCTAACTTGTCTTTGCTTTCAAACGCCTGTCGATGCTGTTCATGCCCATAATTATGGGTTGTGACCCTTGGCAGCTTCAAACATCTTGCGTGACTTCAGTGTCTTCGAAAGAATTTACATATAATATACAGTGTATATATATATATATACACACACAGGAACAACTTCTCGTGATAGGTTGTTCAGTTTAAACAGCGGTATGAAAATGGAGAATATGCACCCCCATATACTCCCGAGACTCTGAAGGGGGAACATATAGCCTTCTTTCACATTGTGAATCATGGGCTTTAGTATGTTTCATGTTTCAACTGCTTCAACTCATCATACTCCAATGATATGGTTCCTAGTAGCGTCCTTGCTCCTAGTAGCGATGCCAGGAGCCCCTAGTAGCGAACATTGCTCCTAACACAATCTCACTCGCAAGCTGGACGCACCAAGCTCACCTTTGACAGCTGTGCAAAGAGCGGTGCCCGCCGTCGCTTGGGATCCGCGGACCTGGGGCGGTCATCACGGACGGTGGCAAACGTTGTTCGTCCGACGGATGGGCCACAAAAAGCTACTAGGGGCTCCTGGCCTTACTACTAGGAACAAGAAGCTACTAGGGGCTCCTGGCATCAACTAGGAGCAAGGGAGCTACTAGGAGCATGATGTGGTGATGTGCTGGGATCTCCCACCATGCTGCCACCGTGCTGCAAGCAGAGGTGAACTGCCGTGTTGGGTGCGCTTGGCTGAGGCGAAGGTCCAAACACGAGGGCTATTCTTGCAAAAGTGCTTTGTGAGAACAGCGTTCTCCAGGACATAAGGTGATGCTTGATGAGTTACAAGTGGTTGACGATCGGATTTTACTTTGGTCCAACAACACACCACATCTTCAAAATAATTGTCTGCCGGCTCATTGCCACACCTGCATGCTGGTGAGTTCCCGAAGCCTGGAGGCCAACAGCCTGAGAGTGAGAAAGTCAGAGTGTATGCAAGCCAAATCAAACTCTTGGGCTTGAAAAGAAAGCAACAAGTTGTTAAAACTGTCCCAACCTTTCCGCACAGTCATTACATCAGGTTATATCATGTGTCATGTCTACCCTTCTCCATCCTTATCCTCGTTTGGGCGACTCGCCTGCAAAGCTCCGCGAGGAAATCTCCATTCTGGTGATCTCGTAGCCTTGGCGCTCGTCGCTCGAGTCTCGTGTCACGTCGAAGAAGCCACACTTCGGAGCCATCAGTCGAAATAATACTTTGTTTAAAGGCCGCTCTGCCCTCCAACCTAACAGCGATGGCCTCCACCCTAGTAGCGATGGCCTCTGTTTGGGCAGCCCTGCGCAGGAGCAGTCTCCATCTTTTGCATGAGATCTATGTTCTGCTGGGAAGTAAAGGATGGGAACCTTCAGGCGCAGCGGCTCTCCATCTGTGTGAGACACTGAACTCTTTGCTGTAGGATTGATGCAAACAGAGTCTCGCTCTCTTCATTCTACAAAAGCACCATCATAATTGATCAATTCAATCAATGCCACTGTCTTTACCTTGTATATGCTATATATATATATATATACAGTATAATACTTATACATGTGTGTGATCGAAAGGCACCTTCTATAGACGCCCTTGTCTCTTTGGTTGGTTGGAGTGGGTGCGCGCAATACCCGCTATCAGGCAGCGCGTGATGAGGAAAGTAGACACATGTGCAGGAATGATAAGAACCTCAAAAAAGTAACCCAGAACGTTTGCCGAACTGCTCAAGAGAATAATCCGTACAATCCAGAAGGTAACCTTCAGGATCCTTCAGGTGGACTTAACCAAGTCTGCTTGAAGTCTTTGTTGATCCCCCATCATAGCCACTGCATTCCCGATTCTCACCTTATAAGGATCTCTCGTGCCACGTGATCCAAGGACAGTTGGTCGTTCGCCATCTGTGCCCGGGAGAGCAAAGCCTCGCCATGTTTCGTCTTCCCGCATTGGGTAGGGAGGAAGGCAAGGAAGGCAAGTTGATTCTTCCTGGATATGCTGTTTTGGCATGTATTGTTTAAATGTTGAGTCTTGCATAGTCTTGCTTTGATGTTGAAAGCGAACGTTGGTAGCTCAGCTAGTACGTAAAATTCAAGAAGCAAACATCTTCAAAAAGCGTTTCACCAATTCTATGACACTCGCGTTTTCCCCACTCCACTCCACTCCCCAAGATCAAAAAATCATTTCCACACAGCAGTCGTTTGATCGAGATCGTTCGATGACAGTCGTAATGACAAAAAACATGAATCATGATCATGCAGTATGGTGAGAGCGAAGATGAAGGGGATTATTATTGGCCAAATCAGGGGATGATGATTTGGGATTAGCCAGTAACAACGTCATATCATCTATGTACGGCGGTGAAGCTGCAAATGTCATTCTGACTTGTCACCCAAAGTAGGATGATTCTTTTCCAGCTATATGTTCCTGGTCCGAACAGCTACTAGGGTTCCTTTCTATCCACAATGGCTGCAATTGAAGCCTGAGTATTCAAGTTGGACTGCAGGAACCATTCCATTCTTGTGAACATCTTGCAATGACCCTTGGCAGGTCAGGGAAGCCCTCTCTTAGGTGAAGCATTACCTATTACAGTAACGTTAGCCTCCAACCTGGAAGCGATGGCCTCCCCATTAAATCATTGAATCATTGAAGCTCGCAAAACTCTTGTTCTGCAAATGAAGATGTTGGAGCCTCGAACTGGAAATCCGCCTGAGTTCGCGGGTCATCACCAGCCTGCTGTATTGAAGACATTGAAGAGATGACTCAGCAATGAATCTGTAACTGTTGCTAGAACACTATCATGGGATGGCTTTCGGTCCCAAATGAAAAAATTGAACTTTGCCCCCTGCACTGCACTTCTGTTGCTCCTGTTTGCAGATTGATACCGGCACTTTAGAGGAAAGGAAGCCAATTCACCCGACTGCAGCCATTGTGAAGCCTTCCAGCAATCACTTGCAGGTAATGTAATGTAGAAAAATGGGAAACATCAATTTGAGCAATCCTCTTGCATGTTGATGTTCCCTGCCCGACCCCCAAATGTTCACATGTGGTAAAAGCAAAATGCATATTGAACGAGATCCACCTCCGGCATGGCACCAGGGAACGCCGCCTTGCCAACGAACGGGGATAGTAACAAGGACGCTACTAGGAGCAAAGGGCATCGCTACTAGGAGCAAGGACGCTACTAGGGGCTCCTGGCCTTACTACTAGGAACAAGAAGCTACAAGTAACAAAGGCCCGCAAACAAAAACTGTATTTGAGTGTTTAGACTACACCTTCTCGAAGGATCTTGGAAGAAATGGATGGAAGAAATGGTGACGAAGTGTCCTGGCAAACAACCAGATGCACGCGGCCTTTGGCGGACCAGGACGTGTGCCCATCTGTGCCTGTGCCGGAAGTATGCGAGATGTGCAGGAATCTGCCTGGGATGCCTACTAAAATCTACGAATTAATGTCTGCGCTAAAAGACACTTCCGAGAACGATTTGAAGGCTGTCTTCGGACTCACATAATGTTGGTGATGCTTGTCTGCTCACTATAAATGCTCAACATTCCAATCATGAAAGTACCCTGCTGTGATAGCTTTGCATTTTGAGGTCCACGATGCATGCAGTGTCTTCAATGTCCAGGATGTCAATTGTATATTGAATATTGTATACTAATTGGGTGCGTGCCGGGTTGTGCATCAATTCGCATTCTTTCTGACTTTGCTGTTTCTGTACTTTCTGCATTGCTGGACTTGGCTGAATCAGGAGTCTTCAGGTCCTGCCTGTAGCTGGACAGACTGCTTTGTTTCGCTCACATTGCCCTGCCGCAGCGGAAATTCATGAGACTTCTGGCTGCAGAAGTGGTAAACTCGAATGTATGAATGTTAAAAAGGAAACATGAAGGACATTGCAACCATATGTGAACAACTATAAACCAGCAAGAAAAGACTCGCTCTTTTCAAAGATGGGCCTGTAGCCGTTCCAGCATCTTTTGCACAGAATCGGCATCTTTCTTGGTCTGTGGGGTCTCGTCCTTGGCGAACTCGGCGCATGGAAGGCTCCCACTGGGACTGCCGCCAGTCTTCGATCTGCAGACCCTGAGGCGCCCAGCATCGAAGGCACCCCGTCGCAGGAAGCCCTTCAGCGTCGTCAGCTCCGACCTGGGCGGTAGAACCGATGAGTCTTGAGATGTTCAAGCCACCTGGTCTTTGGCAGTGAAAGACGTGTGTGACATATTCAGGAGTAGGAGAAGGCAGTGGATGGCTGCAGTCTCAGATTAGTTGGACTATCAGGCCGAAGCTTCAAAGTTTAACATTGAAGGAAAGTAAAAGCAGCACATAGCAAAACGCATGGGTGGCACGATCAATGAGCCTAGATTGGCTCATCATCCTTGCTTGTTTACACAAAAAGGTTGAGATAATCTTGGATAGCTTTTGATAGTCTTGATCCAAACCGGTGAAGCTACAGCAAAAGACGAGCAAAGGGCATCGCTACTAGGAGCAAGGACGCTACTAGGGGCTCCTGGCCTTGCTACTAGGAACAAGGACGCTACTAGGAGCTCCAAAAATAGAGGCAACAGCTACAGCAAAAGTCAGCGTTTCATGTCGTGACCAGCCTCTTCACAGCAACAGAGTGTGAAGCATGTAGCTTGCATGTAGCTTGCAGCTTGCACTTGGTGTCCAGCATTTTCCGTTGGGATGTGCCAAAAGTCATGGGCTGAGCACTGCCAGGTAGTACCTGCCAGGTGCTGCTGATCCCGCCTGTTTGAACCCAGTTGTTCCTTCTGTGCAGCTGTCACTGATCCGAGCTACATGATCTTGTCTTTCGTTAGCAACCAGCCTCCATGGGTGGTAACAGGTCCCTTTGACTCAGTGTGACAGCTTCTAGGTCCCGAACACTGGGCACAGGCGGTGCCTGAAAGAACCCCATGTGGGAGTCCACATCAGGCTCTTTGCGGCACAAGTTGATGCAAAACAAATTGGCGGGAATCAGTGCAGGTCTGTGTACGTCTTCCAGACTCTGATGTCTTTTTTGGATTAGCGGCTCCAATGCTTAGCAATCACCCACTGACACTCGTCCCCAATGTCTGAGCTTCCAACTGGAGGAGCATCCGGCGGTGAACTGGCACATGGAGGCATTTAGGCATGAGTTTGTCCAATCGAAGCAGGCAACATCTTTTCGGCCAAGTAAACAAGAAGGGGATAAGACTTTGAGTTCTATTTAGGACTGTAGTAACCACTCTGATTTGTTCAAGCATTGTTTGCAATGCTTTTTTGGAGGCCTTGCAAGGATAGGTTGCTGTGGAAGACAAAAAGAGTGCCTCATTGAGTTGCTGCGCAAGCCCAGGATCGACTGGACCTCGGAGGCTTGGCTTAAGGTTCTTGATGACAGAGCTGAGAACAGGGTTAATTAAGTGAGAACAAGAAGAGTTCACTGAAGCAGGTTGGTCAAAGATGATCAAAGGGTCACCAAGCCCAACACACTGCTGCAAGCAGCCACAAAGGCCGTATCCAAACCACTAGTGTCACGGACACTGGTCTCAATCGACACATATCGACACGGCTTGCGGTCCAGAACCGCCATTTCCCTACCAAAAACAGAGAGCAGCAGCAGCTGCTTGGATCCCAAACGACAGAGCCTTCCTCCATGCCCTCAGGCCGGGTGGTTTGCAAGCCACGAACCCAGAATGTTCGGCCAAAGAGGCGGTGCTGTGGTCAACAAGAAGCTACTAGTAACTAGTGCATCGCTACTAGTAACAAGTGCCTTACTAGTAGTAACAAGAAGCTATTAGAAACAAGAAGCTGTGGTGTTAGGTTTAGCTTTTTAGTTTACAAATTGCAAGAGTGGCGCGTGGTTGCATGTCAAAGCAAAATGTTGATCCACAGAAGAAAGCGACATGAAGCTTAAGCTTGCTGATCGGCCAACTTCCCAGCAAGAATTCTGCCACCCAATCCAGCCTGGCCATATCCCATTTGCCCCATGTCCATAGACCTGGGTACAGTGGAGAGCAAATACCTTCCTTCTTTTGCGCAGAATCATTCAGTTGGTTGGGCTTTGGTTGGGCTTTGGTCAGATTCCAATCTGAGGCCAGCAACATGTGATCTGGCAAAGGTGGCGGCGGTGGAGGCACAACTGGCCTTGGCGACTGCTCTTAGCGGTCGATAACGGTGGGAGAGAGTAATTAGAATAGACAGCTTCACTTCGTGTTGCAGTCGACTACTTCTGACTTCTCTTTTGTCTTGGCGACACTGAGTTTTCGGCTCTTCCAACTCTCCTGCTTGGGCTCGATCCGCCAGGCGCTGCAACGCCTTTGCAACGGCCGATGCCAAGGCAGCCGATGTGAAGAAACCGATCCACGCCTTTGAAATGCTGATTGAAACCCATGGAACAGGTCCATAGAAAAAGATCTCTCTGAGTCTTTCTCTCAAGCCTTTGCCATCCCCTAAAGTGAAAGCTAACAACCATACAGGACTTAGGGGACACCAAAATTGTTTACATAATATGCGTATATTATATTTATGTGTATATATATATTGACATACATACACATGCACCCACCTTGCTGTGCCCTCCCAAGCAAACGCAAGGCAACACTCGAACACTTTTCTTCACACCTCGCTGCAGCTGCACACTGTGGCCTGTTAGGAAAGCGAGATTCCAAAAAGTGCACACTCACAAAGCCTCATCACTTGCAAGATGGGAGTATCATATCATAGAGTACCTAGCCTCTACCCAGCATATGTTGCAAAAGAAGTTTCTTGGGACTTTCTCCGACATGTAGAAACGCAAAAACAACAGCGCCCGCAGACCTCATGGGCCAATGTACGTCACCAGTGTGCTTCGAAATCCACGCTGCAGCTCTTCCCGATCCAAGTTCCGGCCAATGAAAATCAGCCTTAGTAACTATAAGTGGATTGGTAGTGTGTTTGCGCACCCGTCTCATTGGAAGCACCAACCCACTTACTTATCACATAATTTCAGGTATATTTGTCTTTCATGTGTGCACGAGGGAGCATACAATGGCCTCACCGTAGACTAAATGAACTGTCAAATGTGGTGGATGAACACGTTAGGGTTGCTGCTAAGTCTGGGCCTCTTGTGAATGCTTCATAGAGGCTTCACCCGCCGTGCTGAGATACCCTTTAGAGGCGGCAGCGCTACAAACACGTGACATTTATGTATGAAACATTCAAGGCTGCCCCGAGTAAAGCGAGTTTCTGCTACCCGCCCAATCTAAACTTCTCAATATTGTCCTATTTGGACCAGCCACCGGTTGACACGCTCTTCTTCTTCAGGCCAATCATCCTGCGGCTGCCCACCAAATATCATGTGAATGCCTCGCAGTGTGCGCGGGCAAAAAAACAGATGAATGGCGGCAAAGCCTTGCTCATATTCTATACATCCGCCAGGACAACAACTACCTTTTCGAAAGATTTCAGAAAAAAACAACAGAAAAATCAGAAAATCTCAACGGCGCATGGCCTTGAAAAACGAATCGCTGGTTGCAGCCTTTCACCTCAGGGTGTGGCTTGAAGAACTTGTTGCCACTCTCACGCTGGGCATGAGAAGTGTCTAACACGATCTCTCGGGCATGCTCAAGCTGAGGTGGTAGGGATCTCACTATGAAGAAACCTAGCAGCTATATAAGTTGTTCAAGCTCACCCAAGACATCTACCCGCCAAGGCACTGCAAGAACACCTTTGGTTCGGAAAATGTCGACACCGCGCTCACGCAGAAGGGTGGCAATCCAAATGTTGAGTTTCTCTTGGTCACATTCACCTGGGCATTCAATTCCGACCTGAGCTGGCTCTGCTGTTTCCGCGGACTGGTAAGCAAGAAAGTCGCAAAACATTCGTCGGAACTATATAAACGTTGGTGAGCCTATGATCAGCGTCCCCCGCGCGAGTGGGCAAGAGTCAGTGAAGAGGCAAAACCAACGGCCATTGGGATCCCTCGACCCCCCACACAAAGCTGACGCAAGTGGAGTGGTTCATGTGTGTGTGCCCCTTGTAGTCACAGATTCTTTTGAGTTGTACACTGAGCTTTCTTCATTTAGAGCACGGGGGCACGGCACCAGATTGCAGACCGTGTCTAACAAAGCTATGCAATCTGGTGGGATATCCAGCTTGGCCAGCTGGACGTACCTGCAACAATTTTAAGATTTGTAAGGGGCTAATGCACTCGGCAGACAAGAGCGTACGTCGTCATCCTGTCGGCTCGTCGCATGGTGGAGTTTGACTTCTGGCCTTTAACTAAAGGCGCGCAGCCACCCTCACCTGGTTTTTCAGGATTTGGTTTCTTAGGCTGACCGCTTTCAGTTCAGTACACCCTATCCTAAGTGCGCCTGGCCTCTGCCAGCCCGGGATGAGCCCGAAGAGTGCCTCCCGTGGACCCGTCGAACGGGGGTTTGTCCTTATCTCCCCTGCCCGGAGATGTACGTGCCCAGAGCGGGCGAAGTAGGCTTCGGCCAACGTTATTTGCCAAGACTTGCTGAATGATTGAATTCCAAGATGGCTCGTGCCTTTACGTGACCGCAGCGGTCAGAGCAGCCAGCCATTTTGGCAAGGCACAAGGTGACCATAGCGGTCAAAGCAAGTTTAAGGTTCATTGGAACCTGTCCCACTCTCAGGTGCACACACAGCGCATACAATCAAACGAGGCGAGGTCCCTAGGCGTTTCTAGTGAGGTTTGGTTTCATCGGTTCTCGTCCCCTCCATTTGGTTCCCCTTTCATCCTTTCCCCTTCACACACTTCTGTTTCCTCTTTTTTTTTCATGTCCTCCTGTCTTCATGTTTCGTCATCTCATCCTTTCCTTTGTTTGCGCGCACATCGGTCCTGGCCTTAGCGTGTACGTGCACATCTACAACCCAGTTTTTAGGTCGCCCAGGTCTCGACAATGAGGTGAGGCTCATCGGTTGTCCCTGTGCACTTGGTTTCTCTTTCATCGCAACCACGCACACTTTTGCCCCGTCTCGTCCTCCTCTCATGTCTTCATCTTTCTGGTCTTTCCTGCGCGCACATTTGCACATTCGTCCCAGCCTTAATTTTTGCCTCCCCTCGGGGAGGCGTGTGTGTGTGCCCCTTGTAGTCACAGGGATTCTGAGTTGTACACTGAGCTTTCTTCATTTAGGCAGGGAACACGGCACCAGATTGCAGACCCTGTCTAACAAAGCTATGCAGTCTGGTGGGATATCCAGCTTGGCCAGCTGGACGTACCTGCAACAATTTCAAGATCTGTAAAGGGCTAATGCACTCGGCAGACAAGAGCGTACGTCGTCATCCTGTCGGCTCGTCGCATGGTGGAGTTTGACTTCTGGCCTTTAACTAAAGGCGCGCAGCCCCCCTCACCTGGTTTTTCAGGATTTGGTTTCTTAGGCTGGCGAGTGGCACCGCTTTCAGTTCAGTACACCCTATCCTAAGTGTGTGTGCGTGTACACCTTGGATTCCGAGGTTGTCTTTTGACATGCTTTTAATTTTACAGAGCAGGGGAGCGGTGGGCATACTTGAGGTCACCACTCAAGGAAGACACTTCAAGTTCTGTGATATGCAATCTGGACGCAGATTGCACTTACCTGCCAGATTGCGATCGCCACGTATTCTCTTCTGGGCCCCCTTTCGTTACTATATAGAGCAATCATTTCAACCTTTGCGGCGGCTTCCGATGTGGAGGCACGCATCGTTTTTGTACATGTGGACCGCGTGGAGTCAAGTGGACCTTCGAGACTCTAGTAGCTTCTTGTTACTAGTAGTAAGGCACTTGTTACTAGTAGTAAGGCCAGGAGCCCCTAGTAGCATCCTTGCTCCTAGTAGCGATGCCAGGAGCCCCTAGTAGCTTCTTGTTCCTAGTAGCTATGTGTAGTTCTTGGTGGTTGGACCCCGCTGCACTACTTATTAGGTTGTCCCCTTCTAGTTTATCCAGGGCTTGTGGCATTCTATAGCTCGAGTGTGTCTGCGTGTTTGTTTCAATGTGTATATATTGTGTTTAAAAATACATATATATATATACATATACTAGTACTAGGTAATGATATATACTTACAAAGCAAGCCTATACTGTATGCCTACACTATCTTCATGTCAACCATGACGCCAAACTGGGGCACCTCCCACGCAAAAGTTCAAGAGAACTGAGCTCCCCCGACTGAGCTGACGGACTGATCGTGCTGGTGATCTTGATCATCCTTTAGAAACTCCGTATCACTCTCAAGGACGCGGTCCAACGAGAATCCCCGAATGCCTCAGCGGGCGAGCTAGCTCCCTTCACTTTTAGGGTGCCATCAAATATGTTCTAACAAAAGTTAAGGGAGATATCAATTTTGGAGAAAGCAAATGTTGGTTACACGAAGAGGAGATCAGAGATAGTTGTCTTGAAGTTGTGGTGCGAAATGGGATTTTGATCAAGGCTTTTGCTGCACAATCCAGATTCTAGAGTCAAACCGCTTCCCTTCACTGTGAACCACAGCAAAGATGTAAACTACACGCATGATGACCATTTGTTTTCGAGCCTGTTCTTGACAAAACATGAAGAAACACTTGGAACTGTAATGGCATGGCCAGCAGCCAATGATCTCATCCACTGCCACTTTGGAGTTCCTCAGATGAACCCGCTACTCCACTGGCAACCCGACAAGTGTAGCTCAAAACTCCAACAACTCAATGGACTGAGGAATTCATTGAAAACCTGACCCGAAAGGGTTCCTCCTTAGAGCCTTAGAGAGTGAAAAGAACAATTGCAAGAAGCTACTAGTAACAAGGGCGCATCGCTACTAGTAACAAGTGCATTACTAGTAGTAGCAAGAAGCTACGAGTATGTGTAAAAGAATAAATATAGCCTCTTGTTTTCCTACCTGGAAGAACTCTTTTCGGCACCCACCATCGGCTCCACCCTGGAAGAGCCCAAGGGGCTGTGTGTAGATCATGGGGGCCACGGCGTTGATCTTCCGCACCTCATACGTCAACCCTTCCAGCTCCGCCGCGTCGACCTCCGGTCGCCGGAGTCAAACCAAAGCTCCGAAGGCGTCGCAGGGCGGAGCGAGCGTCGTGTGGCTCGTCGTTTGGATTAGCTCTTTCGCTGCAAGCTGGAAGCGATGGCCTCCAACCTAAAGCAATGGCCGGCAGTCTACGCCCCAAGTCTTTGTGTAGCGAGCCCTGAAACCCTTAGAGGTCATTGAGTGCTTGAAGCTTGGCCAAAAAGAGATGCTTCTCCCTGCGTTATTAAGACCGCACTTGGCGTATCGCCCACAAACCACAATTGAAGATTGTATGCCCCGTTTAGTTAGCACCACCAATTCTGTCTGCAAGATCAACCCTACACCAAACAATGATCACCCGCCGACTGTTGAAAGCATGAACCTCTTTGGGCCCATGAAACACTAAAAAAACGCCCTTCATATCACATTTGTCCTTATGGCAAAGACAGGGCGCTTTGATCATGTGTCTTATCCATGAGGCATTGTTCAAGATTATATAATTCAATGCACTAACAGAATCAGAACAAAGCACATAAATCGCAAAGCAGGCTGCTGGCTGTCACGCAATCACAATCTCAAGAGTCTTGAGTCTTAAGTGTCAGACCTCTCCAGGCTAAGAACTCTTGGTTGCTAGTAGGATGGAGGCCATCGCTAGTAGGATGGAGGCCATCGCTAG